TGAGGCGGACGAAGATCCGACGTTGAGGTAGAGATGAGGCCGCAGCCTGCTTCATTTTTAGCTCGGCGACGTTGTCTGCGTTTGCTACGCGATTATGAAAGCACTTTCGTGCTGTCCATCACACCGAAGTAATAGATGCGACCCGTGATGCGAAGGAATCGGTCCCGACAACTAAAAGCTACGCGTATATCTTTCTTGAGCTCACAGCTCACACGACCGATGTCCAGGGTAACGTGTTACGACGTCGGTGCCAGTACATGTGCCCGTCACGTCTGTACAGCCAGAGGGTTCTTGACGGTCAACGCCCCTCGCTTTTGGATCGACCAGCAACGGCTCGTGCTCAGTACTTGAACGACCGCTTCAGCAACAATGGCTCGCGTTGGACGACTCGGAGAAGCCTGCGCCAGAGTGCTCCGAATTCATACTCTTGACATGCGTAACCAACAGGTCGACTCGGGCGAAGTCAACCAGCCTATAGTTAGACGCGCGTATAGATAGGACCAGTCGACACGACAGGCGCCGGCACCGATGTGGTTGCGCACCTTCTTCTCCTCGGGGCTCTCCAAGTACGTCTTGACCGACAAGAGTGCGCGGGGCGATGGGCACGGCAATCACACGCCCGTCGTTCAGATCTGGTATCGTATCCTCTCCAACCTCGTGGCCGCCGTCCTCGTCGCGCTGTCGCTCGCAGCGCTCGCCGTCGTTGTGGCGCAAGGCACGTTTCGCCGCGAAGACGTGCAGTACCACGACCAGGCCAAAGCCTCGTACTGGAACAGCTACGGCGCGTCGTGCAAGCTCAATCACGCAGGCTGGGTTCCGCACTCGTGCAGCGCCATTGAGGTCAACACGACCGCGAATGCCGTTGCGTGGAATGCCATTGGCGCCAACGTTGCTGCACGCTTGGCAATCCCAGCGGGTGCCACGTATTCGGTGTCGACGTGCTTTATGGGCGCCACCCCAGAGATCGGGTGGGCGTCGCTGCAGCTCTTGATCGGGTACGACGACTTCCCCACGTGCTGCCCCCAAAACGGGTCCCAAACCATTGCCGGCTTGTTCATGGTTGAGACGGCGCTGCGCATGACACACCCCGAAGGCGTGTACCTCGTCACGGGGTTCATCGACAAAGTCACCACTACCACCAAGGTCTACACTAGTACCGATGGCTCGACCCACCGCCTTGTCGCCGGGGTCGAAACAATGCAAGTAGCGCTGAATGGCACGACGGCCCCCGACCCAATTGGCCGCAACACGGAGATACCGTCGTTCCCGCTCGGACGCCGGTACGCAGTCTCGTCCCACAACCAAGCAGTGATGGTGGCGATCTTCGACGACTTGGACACGGATCTCGGCTGGAGCACGGGCCGTGACTCCAAGATACCAGTGGTCTCGGGCTGGATCGTCGGGCATTCGGTCGACAACGGAGACGAGCTTCTTGCGATGCAAATCGTATTCTCCATTGCAAGCATGTTGCTCTTCTGGGGCGACGTGTACATGACGATGGAGGGACTGCAAGGCGTCCTGCGCAACAAGCCCGTCTTGACGTACGACGTGCTCTCGGGTCTCGAACGTCGCAAGCTGCTCATGCTCTTTATCACACTCAACTCGATGCCGTCCATCCTGTACATTGATGTGGCACGCATCTACTATGGCACCGACTCGGGACTCAAAATCTGGGTCATTGCCACCGTCTCGCTGAGCATTCTTGCGGCTTTTGCGGGCTTTCTTGTGGTGACGCTACTGCAGTACGTTCCGTCGCCTCACTGCTTGCACCACCACGTCGCGACCTTCTCGGCCCCCTTCTTTTTGTACGCGAGCATCATCAGCGTCGCCAGCGTGATTGGCGGTGAGATGTTTACACTCAACTTGAGCTTCAACAACGCCCCCGGGGGGCTCGCGTTCTTTGCGCGCGGCGCGTTTTGGCCGTCGGGGGCGTATACGCCCGAAGGCGCGCCGGCGGCGATGACCCACTTGCTTCCCATGATGTGGCTGCCCGTGCTCTTGTCGCTACTTGGGGCGATTGCATATTCCAAGCTCAAGCGCATTCTCGAGGGGCATTCTGGCATTGTCAACACCGAGTGGACGACCAAAAATGCGTTTCTGACCGCAACAACCGTGCCGAATTGGGTCACGAGCATGCCGCTGGCGCCCCACCACGGCATCAAGATTGGCAACCGCACGTTCTGCAAGCCGAGCACCCAAGTGCTCTTTGGGTATGCAAGCGTCGTGCCTGTCGAGGCAAGCAAGAAGGTGCTCGTCGCTGCAGGTCCCATCGCCGCAGCCGAGCCCGACGCAGACTTGATTAGCATCTACGATCTGGGGTGGACGCTGGTCTTTGGCGCGTGGGTGCCGTGGCGCCCCAAGCGGTTTGGGACGAACGCCAAAAACAAATTTCAAGCGCCCAGCGGCGACGCGCGCTTGCTGAAAACACGACGCTATATTCATACGCGTGGGGCCGCCAT